GTCCCCCCCCCCAATAGCTAGCAATCCAAAACAGTCCAGTGGCACCTTTAAGACAAAGTTTTATTCAGGTACGAGCTCTCCCTCCTCTGCGAGGACAGATCTGCACATTCCCCCCCCCCCCAATAGCTAGCAATCCAAAACAGTCCAGTGGAGCCTGAGCGGTGGGTGTTGCCTTCTGACACACGTCCAGTGATGTCAGGGTGTGTGGCATATGCAAATAAGTTATGCAAATGAGCTATGCTAATGAGCTATGCTAATGAGCTCCTCCACCTCTTTTTCTACGAAATGACCTCTGATGACTAGTAATGACATATATAGGATCAGGGTACCATATTTTCCACATTCAAACCATCACATGTACTGGCATCAATTTGTACAATAACATAAATTGGATAGTTTATTAGAGCTCAATTCAAGTCCAGTAGCATCTTAGAGACCAGCAAGATTTCAGGATAAAAGCATTTTGAGAGTCAAAGTCCAAGGGAGCTTTGACTCCAGAAAATGTGTACATCAAACATCCTGTTGGATTTGAAAGTGTTCATTAGACTCGAATCTAGTTCTTCTGTGGCAGACCAACACGGCTACCTGCCTGAAACTACAGTTTATGAGATTGTTTTAGGATGTGTCAGATGTAATGAGTCCAGTGGCACCTTTAAGACCAACAAAGTTTTATTCTGGGTATACGCTTTCGTGTGCATGAAAGCTAATACCCAAAATAAACTTTATTGGTCTTAAAGGTGCCACTGGACTCAAACTTGGTTCTGCGGCTTCCGACCAACACGGCTACCCCACCTGAATGTAAGATGTAATGTGCGCTTCCTGCAATTTCTTAAAAGCTTAGCGATAGAGGGAGAGAATTGTCTCTTCTCAGGCCAAACAACACATATTTCTTTTGTCTAACTCTGGTCTCTGATCTGACAGGTGGTGCATATTTTTGCACCACTTCAAAACCCTGTTAAAACGGAGGAGGAGGAGGAGGAAATTGGATTTATACCCCACCCTTCACTCGGAGTCTCCAAGCGGCTTGCAATCTCCTTTCCCTTCCCCAGGTGTAGTGGTTAAGTGCGCGGACTCTAATCTGGGAAAACCGGGTTTGATTCCCCACTCCTCCACATGCACCTGGCTGGATGACCTTGGGTAGGCCATAGTTCTGATAAGAGCTGTTCTTGAAAAACAGCAGTTTCTGCCAAGAGCTCTCTCGGCCCCACCTACCTCACAGGGTGTGGGGAGGGGAAGGGAAAGGAGTTTGTAAGCCACTCTGAGACACCTTTGGGTAGTGAAGGGCAGGGTATAAATCCAATCTCTTCTTCTTCTTCTTCTTCTCCCCCCAACAGGCACCCTGTGAGGTCGGTGGGGCTGAGAGAGCTCTCTCGAGGACTGCTCCTGAGAGAACAGCTCTGAGAGAACTTGTGACTGACCCAAGGTCACACCAGCAGCTGCATGCGGAGGAGTGGGGAATCAAACCTGGTTCTCCCAGATTAGAGTCCGCACACTTAACCACGACACCGAACTGGCCAAGTTGGTCAGAGCTGAAAATATGGGGTGAACGTACTGGCTGTGAGCAGCAGTTCCTATTCCGAGCTTCCATCTGTTTGTCTATCCATTTTTATCATGCCATTCCTCCAGGGAGTTCCAAGAGAATGCACAGTCGGGTTTCCAGCTGCCTGGAGAGGCCTCGACACAGAGAGTCCTCCATCTTTCTGTGTTACACCTCTGAGGATGCCAGTCACAGCTGCTGGTGAAACAATGCCAAGACCACGGCCGTACAGCTCGGAAAATCTACAGCAACTAATGAACTCCGGCCGCTAATAGACCAAATGGCATAAATAAAAATATATTTCTGCAAAATACATTTAAATTATGGGGCACAAGGAAAAGATGTCTAGCCCGAAGAACCTCGCCCATCACTACATTGACTGGACAGTCATGGTTCAAACCCGGTTACCCCAAAACAGCCTTTAGAAGAAGAAGAAGAGGAGATTGGATTTATACCCCGCCCTTCACTTGGAGTCTCAGAGCGGCTTACAAACTCCTTTCCCTCCCCCTCCCCACAACAGACACCCTGTGAGGTGGGTGGGGCTGAGAGAACTCTGACAGAAATGGCTCTTTTTCAAGGACAGCTGTGCCAGAGCTTGTGACTGACCCAAGGTCACATCAGCAGGTGCAAGTGGAGGAGTGGGGAATCAAACCCGGTTCTCCCAGATTAAAGTCCGCGCACTTAACCACTACACCAAACTGGAAACAACAAAACATCACGCAATCGTTTACGATATTGCGAGGAAATGAAATAGTCTCTCAAGCCAGCATTGAACAAAAACACAAATGTTCTATACCTTGGTACAAATATGATCAGGCGAAACACCTGGTAGACAATCTGTGGAAAGGCTCAAACCTTTCAAGACCACTAACCCTCTTTGAAAGAATTCTAAAAACAGACAGATCAGACTTTAAGAACCTTATTTCAGTCTTATATAACGATCTGATCATACCAAGCCCAAACTGTAAGTTAAGCTACCAAACGCTTTAGTCAGACTGTGTCATCCCTCTTACTGACAAGGAATGGGATAAAATATGGACTTCCCCATCTTTTACCTCCAAGTCCCTAAATATCCAACTTCAGAGTTATAAGATCTTGACTAGATGGTACCTCACCCCAGCAAAGATACACAATATTACAAGAACCTACTTGCCCCTCTGTTGGAGGTCGTGTGGTGGGGTTTTTTGTTGTTGTTCAGTCGCACAGTCGAGTCCGACTCTTCGCGACCCCATGGACCAGATCCCGCCAGGCCTTCAAGTCTTCCTCTGAAGTTGGCTCAATTTCATGTTTGTTGCATCTATGACACTGTCTAACCAGCTCATCCTTTGCTGTCCCTGTCTTCTTTGACCTTCAATCTTTCCCAATCTTTTATACAAACTGTATAAAAACACTAAAACAAGAAGATTGATAAAATCACAATACAGTCCTAAATGTAATAAAGTATAAAGTGCCAGTACAACGAATACAATGATGGCCGACGTTGGTCTGGGTTGCGTCAGGTTGTTGGTCGCATAATACTACTGGGAATGGGAGTGGTGGCGCAGGCAGTAAATGCCTGCAAGTCATCTATCTCCGAACAGCCTTAACAGCTGTTCGAGTCCCACCGCGGCCGGAGTGAACTCCCGGCCCTTGTCCTAGCTCCCGCCCACCCAGCGGCTCGAAAGCCCTTAAAATGGCAATTAGACAAATGGGTATCCACTCCTTAGGAGTGGGGGGGCACCCTACCTCCAATACTGGAGGGCAGCAGTGGTGGCTGGGCAATGTGGTGAGCCACGAAGAAGAAGAAGAAGAAGAAGAAGAAGAAGAGATTGGATTTATACCCCGCCCTTCACTTGTAGTCTCAGAGCGGCTTACAAACTCCTTTCCCTTCCCCTCCCCACAACAGACACCCTATGAGGTGGGTGGGGCTGAGAGAACTCTGACAGAAATGGCTCTTTTTCAAGGACAGCTGTGCCAGAGCTTGTGACTGACCCAAGGTCACATCAGCAGGTGCAAGTGGAGGAGTGGGGACTCAAACCCTGTTCTCCCAGATTAAAGTCCGCGCACTTAACCAGTACACTTAACCACTGCGAGCCAGCAGAAAGAACATGGCGAGCCAGCAGAAAGAACATGGCGACGGATTAACCACTGCGAGCCAGCAGAAAGAACA